AATAATAATAATAATGATAATAAAAATTAATATTATTAATAAACGATTAAGAAAATAATTAAAATTAAACAATGAAATTATCTTTTTTTTTTTTTTTAATTACTAAATTATAACTTTTTAAGAGAGTTTTCCTTTTTTTATTATTAAAATTTAAAAAAATGTTAATAATAATTAAAATTTCTTAAAATATTTTGGATTATAAATAATAAATAAATAATTATTACATTTAATGAATCGAATTATTATTATTATTATTATTGATAATTAAAGATTTTTAACTGAAAATCCGCGTTATTAGGGACAATTTTTTTCTTCCTTTTCTTAAAAAATTCAGTCGTAGGGAGGATATTTGAAAAATTCATTATAAATTATAGATTAAAGTTTTTTTTCTTTTTTTTTTTTTTTGTATTCATTGATTGATTTCAATCGATGACCTCTAATTTTTTTTTTTAAATAATGAGAGAGTTTTCCTTTATTTTTCTGTTTTTAAATCGTAAAAATATTATTTAAGAATTTTGTTTTAAGAAATATGAATGATTTCGTGCTTTTCATATATAATTTAAAAGAAATTTTATAAATCATGTATTTACGACCTCGTTATATGGTACCATATGTGACGACGACGACGACGATTTTCTTTTATTTATTAAAAAAAAAAAAAAAAAAAAAAAATTAAATTTTTTAAAATTCAATTTACGTAGTACATTGGGGATAATGGACACGCACACATACACGCGAGTTTTTTTTTTTTTTTATTAAAATTTAAAATATATAATAATAAAATTTTTTTCTCCTTCATTAAACAACATTATTATATAAATAAACGCGCAAAGAAAATTTTTAGGATCCGTTAATTTCAATATGTACTTGTTTTTTTTTCAAAACATATTTTTTTTAATTAATTAAGTATTTATAAATTAATATTTTTTTTGCTACTTCTTCTTCTTTTCTTCCTCCTCCTCCTCCTCCTTTTTTTTTATTTTATAAGGATTATTAATTTTTTTTTTTTTTTTTTTTTAATGATATAATTCTTTATTAAATTTAAAATAAAAAAGAAAATTTATGTCTGTGATAAATTTTAAAAAAAAATAAAAGTAATAATAAATTTTTGTTTTTTTTTTTTTTTTTTAAATATTATTTTGAATGAATAATAATAATAATAATGTCGTTTTTCTTACCTGAGCTCTGGCTTGTTCTCCAACTAATATGACATCTCTTGTTGCATCGTGTATCGGTATGTCGGATATGAAAAGGCCTTTTCCATTTAAACCTTCTAATCCGTCGAGGAAAGGCGAACCGACGAAAAGTATTGAATCTGATTCTGAACAATAAACCATTTGACCTTTGACTTCCAAACCCTAAATTTCAACGATTAATAAAAAAAAAAAAAAAAAATTAATAATTACGTGAAAGGAAATTTTTTTATTTTTTATTTTTAAATATTTTCACCTGCGCGGAACCCGTGAGAATGGTGAGAAGAAAAGGCGTGTTGGCTCTTTTTATAATATCGTTAAAACCAGAAAAAATTCCTTTGGGCTTTTTTATCTTCAAGAATTTCGAATAAGAGACTCCGATTGTTTTGACTCCTTTTCCGATCATTCT